TTTGTTTTCTGCTCTGTTTATTCCAAGATTAAAATCAGTTTTTGACCTGGGGTGAGGTGTCTTCTGGAGGCTCAGGTAAGGGTGGGAGTAGATGGTTTTGAAGCTTATTGGTAATGTCAACTGCGTATACCCCTTGTGGGTATATGGTTTCTTTGCTACCTGTTGGTGACTATACTTAGTACTTAGAAATTGCCTGAATTCTTTCCCATCCTTTAGCCAGTGAGGGCCCTTCTCTTCCTTTGAAGCTTTCTGACCTGCCTTCTTAGACAAGCAGAAGGGTCTCCACTTAAGGAGCTCATTTGATTGGGTCAGACCCACTGGCATGAGGTTCCTTTTATCTTCAGGCATGCCATCTAATTTTATCAGTAAAACTATGGTGTTCATCGTCTGGGGATCAGGTAGGGATTGGAGATCAGAGCGGGAAGTTTTAGTGATAACCTCGGAGATCTGACTTACGTAGTGGGTCGTGGGGGTGCTCCAAGCAGTGTCTTAGAGAGTGGAACATAGAAAGTATTTTGGAGAGATGGGGTCTATACAAAGATGACAAAGAACCCAGTATTTGCACCATCAAAATGTCAGAGAGAATCAGTGTGCTGCAGGGGCCAACAGAAGCACGTGACAGCAGCTATGTCCTGAGTAGCCGGGGGAGGGAGGGAGGGGTGATTTCTGCGTGGGTTCTGGAGGGAGAGGTAATTTATTAGGTGGCTAGGCAGGTAGACTCTTCTGCCTTCTTCTCATAAACAGCGGAGTCTTTATCTATGTGCGCTTCAACTTCATTTGTAAAAGGAAGTTCATTGCTTCATTTATATCATTTCTGCTAAAAAGAAATTGGAGGTTCACTGGACCTTTCTGATGTGCTCGTTTCGTAAGTGGGGAATTATAAGCTCACAGAGGGAAAGTGACAGACTCCCTGAGTGTCTTCACTAAAGGTGCATTTGGAAGAGAAAAGTGCTTGCTATCGAGTGATTGGGGGGCATGAGAGGTGTACCAGAGGGCAGCCTGTTCAATTATCTCATGAATTCTAGCGGCAGGGATCAGCTTGGCTTGGGATTTACCAGGAAATGCCTTCGGAGGAGGCTGTTCTTAAGCCCTATGAGGCTGTTAGCAGAAGTGATGGGAAGGGTGAAACCTAAGTACAGACCAGCTCTGCAGAGCTGGGGAGACAGAGATGTTTGGGAAGCAGCATAGCCTTTGGAGCCTCATATATTTGAGGGGTATGACTTTGGGCAAGGCATTTTGTCTTATTAACCTCAACTGCAAAATGAGGCTATTTTATGCCCATATAAACACATAATAACAGACGTATACATCAAAGTAGATGAATATTGGTAGTCTGATGTGATCCCACCTACTCCCTAGAACTGTTGTGGACTCTGGGTGTGAGAATGTACAGCCTTGTACCTGCCATGTGATCAGTACTGCACATTAGTAACTGTAGCAAGGCAAAGATTCCGAATCTGGAATTTAGGAAGTTCAAATTTTCAAACCGTGAGAATCCTCTCTTGTTGAGGTACAGGACAGTCACCATGGTAAAGGAGGATTGGGCTTTAGATGAAATGTGGACTCTCTAGCAGAAGCTGGGATCCAGAGGGCAGGAACTCCTGCTGTGTCAACGTTTGGCTTGATCTGAAAATACACCGTTTAGTAACTCTCTTCCGGTTGAGGTCCTAGAGGAGCTCACAGACTTGAAGGTAAGGAGGAGATGGGCAGGCAGACAGAGTAATAGCTGGTTCACTCAGCAGAGGCAGGGGGGTGGGATTATGGTGTGTGAACAGTTTCACCACGTGAGGTGTGAAACCCTTAAGTGTAGAAACTCGTTTGCATGTGCTCATCTCTGCAGATGAGGCTTTCAGGAAGGAGGCTTCACTTTGATCTCATTGAAAGAGTGAGGAGAACATTATACAGAAGAGTAGGGAGCTGGGGGAGGGCAGAGAGAAGAGGAGGCGGCACTGGAAGTGGTACTGTCGGGGAGGTAGAGGGTTCCAGGGTTCCAGGGTATGATATGGAGCTGCTGGCGGGGTCCACTGTTAGCTGGACTATGAAGCCATCATCATTCTGAGAGATAATGGAAAAAGCTTGGTTCCCACGCTAAACTCTTAGTTTCCCTTGATCTCTGATTCCTTATGGAAGTAGTAGAGACCTTGCTTCGTGAAATAGCGGTATAAATGACATTCAAAGCATCTCTCTAAGCCAGGGCACCACAAAGGGTTTTAAGACAGCACCATAGAGATGTTTTTGTCTTATCTCTGGTGTATGAACTAATTAAAAAAGGAAAAACAAAAACCACTGCTCTCTTTGTGACTTACTTCGTAGCAGATCTGCATCCTCTTCATTACTAAGAGTTAATAGTAAGATAAACTTTGGAGTGTTTTAGTGATTGTCTTAGGACTTCTATTTTTTGTGACGAGATACTATGACCACAGCAATTCTTATAAAGGAAAGTATTTAGCTAGGGTGGCTAACAGTTCAGAGGTTTAGTCCATTGTCATCATGGTTGGGCAAGGCAGTGTGCAGGCAGACATGGTGCTGGAGAAGGAGCTGAGAGTCTTACATCTTGGTTCACAGGCAACAGGAAGTGAACTGAGTTCTCGGGTGTGGCTTGGGCAAATATGAGACCTCAAAGCTTGCCTATCCGGTGCCACACTTCCTCCAACAAGGCCATACCTACTCCAACAAAGTGACACCTCCTAATAGTGCCGCTCCCTGTGAGCTTATAGGGACTACTACCACAGTGATCCTTGCTGAGGAGAATTCAGGGTCACCCTCCCCGATTTTGCCTTGATTTCACCTGCAGAGGAGGCAATGAGTCCTCTAGATATAGATCGGAGACAATGCCTAACTGTTCAATACAGAGAGTGTGGAGGAACCAGACTGATACTTGCTGGGGACACAGGCCTGCTGTTTAGATGCTCTCCTTAGCTTGAGAATGGAGAAGAGTCCTTGGTACAGTTCTTCCTCTCACAGGAAAGGCTTCTGTTGCTCATGTGTCTAACCATTGCCTTCAGAGTCATGGTGTGGGTTCTGTTGAAATGGATTGAGATTTTGGGAGGACTTGTGACAGCTTTACATTATGAGCCACAGCATCCATTGCACCGTGTAAAGAAGAACTTGCTACTTGCATATTCTAAACTCCTGATTTCTGTTTTCTCCCTCCCTCCCTCCCTCTCTTCTTTTCTTCCTTCTTTCCTTCCTTCCTCCCTCCTTCCCTCCCTCCCTCTCTCCCTTCCTTCTTTCCTTCCTTCCTTCCTCCCTCCCTCCCTTCCTTCTCTCTCTCTCTTTTTTCCTCTCCTTCCCATTAAGTATGGCCTTGTGTATGCCAGGCAAGCACACATACTACTATTACTAGGCTATATCCCTAGCCCCTTATTTCTTGAATCTATAAACTATAGTGTCACATACACTCAAGGTTCCCCCCCCCCCCCCCCGAAGTCCTCTCTGGTTGATTGGCAGTTAGATTTCTCTCTAGCTTTACTTCCTCTTTAGTAAAATAAATAAAATAACCTCTAGGGAAGATACCTCCTTTGTAAAGTATATGTAAAATAGAAATAACCAGATGAGCAAGATCCTGACCTGAGTCAGTGCTATGGCGCCAAGTGTTAAGTTGTTTGTAATTTTGAGTAGACGAGTCTGTAGACTGAGGGAGCAAGCTTGATCTTTAGGCTTGCACCATTGACATCTTATCCTAAATTATATCCTATTTGGGAGACTCTTTTCAAGTCCAAATTTTAAATGTGTTGTCACAAAGATGAACGGCATATTAATATTCTTCGGAAGACTGTAGAACAATGCTGGCTTTAGCTACATGCCTGCGTAAGTCCCATTTATTATCAAGGTATTGTTACTTAATTAGATCTTAGGTTTGTTGGGTTTGTTGGAAATGTTGGTAGTCTTAAGTGTACAGAATCAAAACAACATAAACCTTTAGGCAAGGAAGAAGGAAACAGTCAAAAATTGTGTCATACTCTACAGGAGTCAACATTTGGGACAAGAAAGGGGCTAATGCCATCAAAGTCTCTTCCAACTCGAGCAATGTCTATGGTAGCCATTTCTTCGTGAAGAGCACTTGAGAAATGTCTTTGTGGTGGGGCAGTGAGGTCAATGGTGTTGAACTGAAGCTGCTTGGAGAAACTGAGAGGCGTGGCTTATGTCCCCAGGGGACAAGATGTGCTTCTTCCCAAAGACAATGCACAGTGCCTCCAAGCCTGAAATGCACTACCTGATGGTGGCAGTGGTTAGAGGCAGGGTGGCTCGTTGTCATATTGAGTTCATAGGGAAAACAGACCGCACATTCCTGATGCCTGAGGCAGCCTAAATCTGGGCAGTACTAGTAACCTCTTTGGTATCTCAGTAAAGTCACCAGTCGACCAAATATCAGGACCACATATCAGCAGTGAAGGGAAGTATATGTAGACTGGCCTCATGCATCCACGGTCATCAGGATACCAGGTGGCCAGGACCTCAGCTAAGCATGGCCTAAGAGCTCCTCATTGTCTTCCCAGGAGCTCCAGAGTCCCACACTGATGTCTGGAAAGACTTCACTTGCTGTAGCTAAGCCATGTTGGTTTGAACTCAGTGTGGTTGGTGGCATCTGGGTTTCATCAGCTGCTGCTTGAGGAATGTGGGCAGAGCTCTGAAGACAGACTGGCTTTGAGGTTATTCAAAGTCACATTCTTGAAAGGATCCTAGACATAAAGCAATCCAACTTTTATAAAATGTTATCATTTCTATTTCGTATCTGGCCTGCAGCGTACTGTGATGAGGTCTGCCCCATTTCTTGGAAAAATGCCCTTTTCCGTTGGGAACATGTCTGCCCTTTCCAGGCCTGCCCAGATGTTCACACCTCATTATTCTTACTGCCTTGCTGGGTAGAGACATCCTTGCCTTTTTCTGAAATATTCTTAGATCTTGGTAAGGTACCGACTCTCAGCAAACATGGAAGAAATGGAGCCTAGAGCATTAGAACAGCTCTCTGACCATGTACCAGGATATAAAGGCTTGATACCCATACGTACTTGCTTCCCTTAATTTTTCTCTTCACTCAGATGAACTCATGTTTCTCTTTATCTCAGTGGTGTGTATGTTTTAGTAAGTGTCCTCCAATCTTTCAGAGAATGAAACAGGATAAATGAGTAAATAATAAATATTGATACAGTGGAATCCTGTCTTAAATCAGATAATCAGCAAGTGACCTTTCAGATCAAGATTTGATGACTCTTTTAGAATAATATAAACTTAGAGTTCGCAGCATTATTAAATAATTTGTGACTCTTATATTTTGATTGTTCATGTCCCCACCAGAAATAATTTGCACAGTAATCTAATTTAGATTCTGTGTACTTTAAGTAGGAAACAGTGTGAGTTAAACATAGTCATATATAAAATGCATAACCTAAGAGAAATTTGTTGCCTGAAAGCTCTATAAATTAATATTTCTTTGAGTATCAATAAGAGATTGGACAAAACAGCCAATTTAATGCAAATAATATGGCTTTCACTTAAAGATACTGAAGGATTCTAATGTTACAAAACCCACACACATTCTATTTTATTTCAGTCAGTTCAGTCATATTCTGCCACTATCTACGAAGGCAGACAGCGTAGTTCTGTTGTTTTTTAGGCTGCTGCGTAGGTCCAAATGGGCCCTAAACTGTAGTGATGGGGGATAGCACACCCCTTCTGAGGTTCAGTTTTTATGGGGCTCATCCCATCTCCAGTGCTTCCCCCATGCTCACCAGCACACAGGCATCCAAACCCTGAAGACTTTCCTATTGACTCTGCTGTCTGCTCACCAGGACTCGGGATCGGCTCAGCAAGGAGTGTACATGTACCTGCAGGTCCGCATGGATTTGCCCCATCTGAGAAGCATCCCTCGCTTGTTGATTTTTATGTTTTGCAAATGATTATTATTTTGAAATTGTTTAGGCATTTTGCCACTCACTTAAGCTTACTTAAGTGGGAAAAGAAAAGTTGTTGACCACCATGTTATTGTCTTAGGCAGGTTTTAATGCCACGTACAAGACAGAAATCTCAGTGCCAAGCCTAACATTATCTTTTAACTAAATTTGAACTCTACCGCATCCGTTACAATTTAAAATGTGCCAGCTTTATTGCCATCACTAAGTGATGGTGATACTGATAGTTACTACACAGCTACCACGTGCAGTGTGCTAACCATGCTGGGAACTGCGTGAAACATCCCAGACCCAGGACAGAGGCCTTCGAGAAGAAACTCTGAGGTATCAGGTCATTGATCTAAGTGATAAAACAAGTGGATGGACAAATCAGATGAAAATTCTTTTTTAAATTAATTTTTTTTTACTTCAAGGCCAGTTTAAACTGTACTTTTCTGGTCTACAGAGTTCTAGGACTGCAGAGAAACCCTGTCTTGAAAAAAAAAATATTGCACATTTTGAAAGGATTGGAGTGATGCCTCAGTGGTTAAAAGCTTGTGTTGTATTTCCAGAGACCCAAGTTTGGTTTCCAACACTCACATGCATGTCACGCAGCTTACAACCACCTTTGACTGCAGCTCCAAGGGATGTGATGCCTTTGGCGTCTGGACCTCACGTGCATGGACCCCCACCAGAACACATACATACACAGAGTTAGAAAATAAGAAGAAAACCATTAAAAAATTATGCCTCGATACTAAGAGTAATTCCTGTCTTTTTAAACACAAATGGAGCAGCACACGAGAATCATGCCGACACCGGCATGTAGACTCATTCTCATACACTGGGCAGAATCAAAACCCTCCCTGTTAATGAATGATACATCTTTGCCTTCTTGAGAATGAACATTAATGAAGTGGCAAGTTTGTTTTCCCTTATGATTCTTTCCCCCACCTTGGGCTGAGGATCTGGCCCAGGCCCTCATGTATTGTTACAGTGAGCTGTTTCGCCAGAAGGAGACAATAAAATGTTTCACACATTTGTTTAGTGAATATTTCACCATCAGTAGACACACCCTTCCTTATTTATTTCGTTAACCTTAATCAGGCATGTATTCTTCAAATGACCTTCAGCCAGTCTCTGCAGATGTTCGCCTAGTCAGCTCACGCATGCGATGACCAAAGTTACTGCTTTCCGTGTTTTATCGAAACCAGTACGTGGACAAGGGAGATAACATTTTTCAGTCTCCTCATTCTTGTTGCATGCACCCATCTTACTCCCCTTTTGTTGATGTTACGAATGCACTACCCAGTCTGCTGTAAACCGCGGTACAAGGTGGTGTCTGGAAAGTAAATGAGACGTGCTGTAGCCGTTTCTCTTTCTGCCTGCTCTGCTTAGCACCTTGTTAATGAGCTTGGCATAAGATCCCTCTACCCAAGTACGTACCTGCAGAAGTGAAAAGGGATGCATTTACCTAACGTAATTGCTGTGTACAGATAGAAGTAGGAAATAAATGTCCCTCCCATTCTTGCTTCTTGTGTGTGTCCTTTTCTTCTTACACTTAATCCATTTTTATCGTTCCTTTTTCCATTCTTGCGCTGGAAACTGAACCCAGGTCCTTGTCCATGCTAGGAAAGCATTCGACTGAGCCCTTGTGTCAACATGCTCCTAAGAAGCATACTTGCAGACACACGGCTACATATGTACATGTTTCATGTGGGTCGGGTCTGTTTCAGCTGGTTGTAGAGGGTGATTATTTGTATTTTGCTCATCATCCGTGTGTGTGCTGCACTGTAGAATAAGAGGCAGAGAGCAGGACCTTCACAGTCAGTGTCATAAGCATGAATTTCAAATGGAAAAGAGAATTAGGGTCAAAGAAATAGAAAAAGTAGAGTATTGGAACCCAGCAGGAAAGAAGAAAGAGTAGAACAAAACTCATCATTAATGTGTGTTGTTAGTGAAACTCTAATGTTTTATTTAGTACACAGATTTATATAGTTGTAGAAACCTCAGAAATATTCATTGCTAGATAATCAATCAGTATTGTATAAACAAGAGTTTCCTGGTAGTCAATATAGAAAAGAAGTACAGTTAGGAAAATACCAATACAGGAAGGAAGGAAAATACATACGTGTTTACATATATACACATACATACATATTCCCATCTGAGAGAAGAAAGTTGGCCAGTTCTTAGAGGAAAGCTCAGTCTGGGTTTTGGGGACAGAGCGCAGGAGGGTGCTGGGAGCCTGGCCCTTGCAGATAGAAGAGGTGAGAAGGGTAAGCAGCCTTAGAGCTTTCTGAGAACTCACACGGTTTCCAGCTCCACGGTGCCGGCAAAACACACTGGGCCTCTAGTTCAAAAGTGGAGGCATTCCAGACGTGACAGCTCATTAAACTGCACTTTGGCCCCTTCTGAGTAGGGTTTGTGTGTGATTGCGCAGGTCCTGGTCCTGAAGGCAGAGTGCTGTGAGTGGGCACAGAACCTTCAGAGAAGGGCACAGGCCAGACAGGAGAAAGTGAGACTTGGTGAAGGAGGGTGTGCAGCTCAGCATGTGCTCTCTTTGGGTGTTCCGCTTCTTTTCTGTGTAAAGGAACTGGTGATGAGTGAGGAGGTTGTGGTCCCCTTAAGGAGGCAGAGTGTGGTGTGGTACAGAAGGAGGGGAGGAGCGGATGCGCACTCTGCCTGGCACTGGGCTGTTAAAGGACGTGAGAGAAGACATGACATGATAATGGGAGCTGAGTGTGGGAGAATAGGAGCAAGGGGATGGGCGGGGTAGAGGGGGCGGGGTGGAGATCCACTCACTGACCACTTCCAGGTTTCTGAGAACGGAGGTAAGGACAGTTACAACTCTTAGAAATGTCAGGACAAAGAGAACCATGCCTTCTAACCAGAGAGCACAGTCGGGGTGAGGTGGGGTGAGGTGAGGGATGTAAGATTCAGCTGAGTGAAGGCTTCCTGCTGATACTATCCCAAGTGGAATCCTGAGATGAATCTGGTTATCTGGTTAGAGTCCTGAATGCCCATGTGCTGTACACTAAATACTTGGGATCTCCTATTAAGCTTTAGAAGCCTTGCCCTCTGGAAAGTAGTATAGTCACATGTCCTCGCTCTGAAGTGTTTCCCACATTACCATGTCGTTGTGCTCCCCAATATGGTCTTTGGACTGGTAGCATTGGCCTCAGGTGAGCTCCTGTGACATGCAGAGACAAGGGTTCTGCTCTGACTTATTCCGCCCCTGAAGATGGGCCGGGACCTGTTAGAATAAGTTCTGAAAGTGATTCTTAGGCATGTTAAAGCTGAAGAACCCCTGATGTGCACGATAGACAGGCAACAGAACTATTGTGAATCCCATATTTAACCAAGGCAGGCAGCCTTGGTAAGCAAGTCATTTCTTAAGACTCTGCTTCCACGACAGAGTTCTTACTATGTTTTTCTGTGATGGAGACTTTCCAGGTAGCGAGAGATCTGTTGTGATGTTTTTAAAAGACACGACCATGTTTTCTGTGTTCCTTCAGCAACAATCACAGAAGTGGGAGTGGGCTAAGGTGAAGGACACCCACAGGAGGTGGCCGGTGGAATTTTCAGCTGTCTCATTTCCCTGCTGTGCTTTTGTGTTTATGTCTCTGGGGCTGGAATGGGGAAGAAGGAAATGGCCTTTATGTAACTTGAGCTAATTATTCTCTAAGCTTGAGCCTACCAGACCATGACCTTGGGTGAAACATTGCATCTCTTTGTGCCTCAATGTCTTATCTATGAAATGGGGACAATGATACCTCCCCCCC